GCAAGTGCTCTCTTCAGTGCAGATGATGGATGGTCCTTGCTGCTCTAAAGTTTCTGCCTCTTGTACCTGTCCCTATATTTTCGTCCTTGTCCTAAGCCTGCAGGACATGGACCATTATTTCCCTTTCACTGATGAGTGAGCCATCGGTGGAGAGATGTAAAAGGCCCTGCTCCAAATTAGCAGTCAGTGACCATAGGGTTGTTTCAGGTAGGGAGTGGTTCCACAGTCTTGGCTGTTGCACAATTCGTTTCCTCGGACACAGGGACACTCAGCTTGAAATGGTCTTTTTCATTGTTTTTTTCTCACCCTATAGAGCTTGACATTCCTCTTCCCTCCTTTTCACAAACCTGTAAAAATTTGAAACAATTTGAATTTCCTCTTCATTTGACATATTTTCAGTAAAAATGATTTCTGCCATAGGTGTGCCTCCATAACAGTTTATGGGCATTTGTATAAATGTGTACACTACAAAATGATTAATCGAGCATTGTGTGTTTTTATCAAAGGAGACACCACAAAGAGTTCTCCAAAGTCCTGTTTGACTAGAGATGATTAATTTTAATTTTTACATGAGCAGCATAATGCTATTAATCATTTAATATGTTTAATCATAATCTCTGTAATTCCTAATTAGGTTTATTAAACTGAACCATTCAGCAATTGTGCACAAATCCAAGTCTAAGTCCCTTTCTTGTGAGGAAGAGAAACTCATTTTAATTTTTTATTCACATAGCAATTTCTAAAGCGGTGAGGAAAATGGGCGAGAAACTTAGGGTCTTAGCTATTGCCTGTGCCAGCCTAGGGTCTTGTGGTAGGGCGTTAAAACCTCTTACTCTTTGGCAAAGTTGCAATATCATGATTTCTTTGCTGTTGATGTGAAACCCAATGTGCTGTTACTGAAATAAACCAAAAAAAAAAAAAAATCATTATGTGGATCACAGTTTACAAAATGAGTGTGTGCCTGTGTTCCGTGTGTATGTGTGTGACTGTGTGTATGTTTGTATCTGCGTGCATGCATGTGGGGGTGAAGAGTATGTATGAGGGTGTGTTTATGTGTATGTAGGTGTGTGTGAGTGTATATGTGTGTGTATGTGCATGTGTGTATGAGTGTGTAGTGTGTATGGTTGTGTGTGTGCATGCATGTATATGTGTGAGTCTGTGTGTAGGTGTATATGAATATGTGATTGTGTGTATGCGTGCATGCATGTGTATGTGTGAGTGTGTGTAAGTATGGTGCTGTGCTGTGTATGTGGACATCAGAGCACAGCGTCACGTGTCAGCTCGTGTCTTCCTTCTTGTTTGAAGGGTCTCTAATTATTGCTGCATATACAAGCCCAGCTACCCGTGTGCTTTCAGGAATTCCCCTGCATCTGCATCTCCTCCACTGCAGGAATGCTGATTACAGACATGGACAATCATATCTGGTTTTATGTTGGCTCTGGGGCGACAACTCAATTCCTCATGCTTGTACAGCCAAGCCCCCACCGAGTGAGCCTCCTCGCCAGCCCACATAGCATTCATTAACCAGCACGTGAGGCTGGCAAAGGTGATGTTCACTCGGTTATTTATTATTCATTTATTAGTGGTGCACCGATCTTTCATGCTTTCGGCCTGTCAGTGCATCAGCCAATCACTTAACAGGCATTTAAATTCATGTAGCAAGCTGGTCACAACTCACTCCTGCTGTCACCTTTAAGTGGCTTGTAACAGCCACTTGCTTTTGTGTACATGGCTCTTCTGAGCCTACAACTTCTACCCACGTCTCAAGTCTCTCTCCTGCTCATCTTCCACAAATTCTATCTGGCTCCACATGACCTCCCAACAGTGGAGGGGTTCCTCTTTACAGCACATGCTTTGCACTCCCTTGGCACAAAATCTGTCCCCACTGCCTCTCCTGATACTCTCTACTAAGCCAACACTACTGTGCCTTGGAACCTCCAGGGGTGTGTGTGACTTATCTTCCTCAGCCTGCACCCTACAAAGAACCGCCTGCATTTTCATTGTTTTTTCCTCACTTCTCCCTACATCATCTGCCTCCTCACATTTTAGGCCTGTCATGGTCACACTGCACTTGACTGTTGACAGTCATCTGGTGGGGTTTCTGATCCTAAATCAGCTTAGATGCATGGTGCACAGGACACTGGGAGGCCTTAATTAAGAATGTTATTCAGATTGTGTGAAGAAGAAGGATGTGAATGAAATATTATAGTACACAGGAGAGATGTTGAGAAAATAGCTAATTACGCTTCTGTTCTTTGGGTGTTTCTTTTACATTTCTCTGTGTAAGATTGTCTCCTCTAAGTCTCTATTATTTTACACCTGGATGCCTGCACTGATAGTTTTGTCCTAGTTATATACTTGTAAATTGCTTATGAATAGATGAGGATTTTCCTTGCTCATGATTTTAGCTTTGGCAACAGTACCACAGTAGTTTCAAAGACATATTTATTGTGTACTTGAGACTGTTTTGGGTAAATGCCTAGGAGTGGTACAGCTGGATCTTGAGGAAGTGTTATTCCTAGTTGTCTGAGAAAGCACCAGATTGCTTTCCAGAGTGGTAGTACAAGTTTATATTCCCACCAGCAGTGGAGGAGGGTTCCTCTTTCTTCATAACCTCTCTAGCATGTGTTGTCTCTTGAGTTTTTGATCTTAGCCATTCTGATGGGTGTAAGGTGAAATCTTAGGGTCATTTTGATTTGCATTTCCCTGATGGCTAATGAGATTGAGCATTTCTTTGTTTCTCTGCCATTCGATATTTCTCTATTGAGAATTCTCTGTTTAGCTCTGTACTCCATTTTTTAATTGGATTACTTGATTTTTTGCTGTTTAACTTCTTTAGTTCTTTATATATACTTGATATTAGTCCTCTGTCAGATATAGGGTTGGTGAAGATCCTTTCCCAATCTGTAGGCTGTCATTTTGTTCTGAGGACAGTGTCCTTTGCTTTACAGAAGCTTTTCAGTTTCATGAGGTCCCATTTATTGATTGTTGCTTTTAGAGCCTGTGTTGTTGGTGTTCTGTTCAGGAAGTTGTCTCCTGTGCCAATGAGTTTAAGGCTCTTCTCCACTTTTTCTTCTAAGCGGTTTAGTATGTCTAGACGCTGGAAACAGCGTCTCAGTGGAGGAATGGATGCATAAATTGTGGGATATCTACACAATGGAATATTACTCAGCAATAAAAAATAGGAAATCATGAAATTTGCAGGTAAATGGTGGGATCTGGAGAAGATCATCCTGAGTGAGCTATCCCAGAAGCAGAAGAGGCACACAGTATATTCTCACTCATATAGACATATAATATAGGATAAACCTACTAAAATCTGTACACCTAAAGAAACTAATCAGGAGGGAGGACTCTTGCTAAAATGCTCAATTCCATCCAGAAAGGCAAAGAGGATGGACATCAGAAGAAGGAGAAAAGAGGGAACAAATCAGGAGCCTGACACAGAGGACCTCTGAAAGGCTCTGCCCTGCAGACTATCAATGCAGATGCTGAGACTTATAGGCAACCTTTGGGTAGAGTGCAGGGAATCTTATGAAAGAAGTGGGAAACAGTAAGATCTGGAGAGGACAGGAACTCCACAGGGAGAGCAACAGAACCAAAAAAATCTGAGCACAGAGGTCTTTCCTGAGACTGATACTCCAACCAAGGACTATGCATGGAGATAACCTACGACCCCTGCACAGATGTAGCCCATGGCAGCTCAGTATCCAAGTGGGTTCCATTGTAATAGGAACAGAGACTGTCTCTGACATGAACTGATTGGTCTGTTCTTTAATTACATCCCCCTGAGGGGGAAGCAGCATTACCAGGCCACAGAAGAAGACAATGCAGCCACTCCTGATGAGACTTAATTGACTAGAATCAGAAGGAAGGAAAAGAAGTCCTCCCCTATCAGTGGACTTGGGGAGGAGCATGCATACAGAAGATGGAGGAAGGGAGGGATTGGGAAGGGAGGAGGGATGGAACCACAGGGGGGATACAAAGTGAATGAAGTGTAATTAATAAAGAATTAAAAATAAAGACATACTTAAGTGGACAATGTCTACTGCCACCTACAGACAAAATATATTAATTGCAGAGAAAGTACAGAAAAAGGGTGTACGCTGCAGTTAATGTGAATTTTCTCTTAATTCTTCCCGATGTTATAGGATTCAGTGTAATAACAGTATCCTAGCTTATTTCTGAGTAGAGGAGAACAGAAGGAAATAATGGACTATGCTAGTAGGTTTACATTATCTACATTAGCATAACCCAGCAGAGCTTCCTGGCAATATTATGTTTTTGCCTTTTTCCAACACAGGCCCTACATGTATGTGCCATTTCAAATGTAAGAAATGCAAAAAAACCCACTAATTTATACTTTATTTAATGTTCATTCTGTGAAATTTGAATGATCTCCTGGGATCTGTGGCAGTAGACAATACAGATTTGTACAATTAAGAAGCTAATTTAAGATGCTAAGAAAAAAGTTGACTCAATCATCTGATTCACTATGAATGGCAAACCACCAAAGTGCCTTTGCAAATTTTTGACATTTATTAATATTTTATCTGTACAGCCTCAGTACTTATATATGTGTAGCCTAAGAATCTGGGAGGCATTAGGGGATGCAAGTTCTTATTTTTAATGATCTTTACTCCCTTTTGATGAGTTTTTCAGTGAGCCCCCAGCCTCCCATGCTTCTTTTTCTCCTCACACAATGCTTATCTCCTTCCTCCCAACTCTACCCTTCTTTATGAATGGTTTTTATTTTGCCTTGCTGCATAGAGTTACATTTAATGAATCTGAGACTTTTGACTGTTTTGCTTGACGTGGAATCTCAGATCCATATCTAGGCACTCAGTTGATGCTCAAAACAAACTTTTTGCTGTTAAATAAAAACAAGGACCAAGAATCTTTGTCTGATACCATTCTGCCATGTAGGAGAAGGGAGAGGACCCTGGGACAGAGTACTTACAGCTACTCAGAGCCTCTTTGCTTTCCCCTTGTTCCTTTAGCAGACAGATGATGCAGCACCTACTGATGGCCAGCCCCAGCCCCAGCCTTCTGAAAACACAGAAAACAAGTCCCAGCCCAAGCGACTGCATGTGTCCAACATCCCCTTCCGATTCCGGGATCCAGACCTCCGACAAATGTTTGGTGTAAGTACTGCCTGTGTCCTAGTTCTTCTCCTTGTGGGAATTCTGGGAATTTATCTTTTATGATGGAATGCTATTTTGGGATGTAGGCATTTTAGCATCTAATGCCTGGGTCTATAGTGGCTAGGTTTCCTGAGGGTGGCAGGATACATTTATTTGTATTAGTTGTGCTTGTGAGGTTTCTGCTTTGCCAGTTGGTTATCCTCTAACAAGTAACTTAAATGTCAAGTGGAAAATAGACTCCTCTATTAACCGCTGATAAGAAGAGCCACGGGTTATTCCAAACCCAGCATCCCAGGACCCCATTTTATAACTAAAATACATGTTGAAGCTCTTGCCTGTTTACCTACAAGAGTGACCCAGGAGTAACTGTACCCCAATTTTCCTCAGGCACTGTGTTCTGCAGTGGCAGTGAATGGCTAGTTCTACATAAAGCTTAGTTTTCAAAACCAGCCACAGCCACCACTAACAAAAACTACCAGCTTTTAAATCTGATTTGATTCTTGCAGCATATGATTTCCTAGATGAAGGTTCAAGGGTATTTACTCTGCTACTCAGGGCCGCAAAGGGCAGCCTGGTCTAGGCACCATGGTGAAACAAAACTAGCCAGAAGCCACCACTCACCCTGAGGAAATAAAGGATGGCTTTGCTTCCTCACAGGTCATCGTGACCCTGATTATTTTTCTGGAATATGTTTGAACAATCCACCCAGGGAAAGGAAGAGTTTACAGCTTATTTGGTCTCAGCTGTGCCAAAGGACAAAGCTTTGGCGAGGCTCAGATAACATTTTGTGTTTTGAAAGGTAGTCACTCTGTATATGACATCCCAGTAGCGGTAGCAAACATCTGTGCACTCGACCAAAGAACTACATTCTTAACATTTGACTCGGAACAAAGGTGGGCTGCTTGGAGGCTCCTCTAAGAGTTTGTGGAGAGCTGCAAATATGACAAAAGCAGCAAGAAGAGGTTGGATGTCTCATTGTGAGCAAAGCTCCTATTATTCTCTGCATGAACAGGAGCCCTGGTTCATTACTCAGGGGCTCCATGATTTGGGGGGTGAGCTTGGACCTTTTATTTCTTTAACACACACGATGCTTATCAAGTATGCATGTGACACAGAAGCAGAGCATGCATCCTAATATTTAAGACACCCAGGCTTGAATCCTGACATTTCAGAAGAAAGGTCAACTTTTGCACTTTTATCGCTCTCTCATTTGGTAATAACCTTGAGTTAAGCCCTCTAACTCTTGCAGAACGAAGATACCCTCGGGCACTCTCAGGTCAAAGATGACTTTGAAAAGTGCAGAGCATTCGAAGTTAGAGTCGAGGTTAAGTGTGTGTAAAGCAGTGGGACCCAGCCTGACTGATGGGTAGCTGGAGGACTGATATCCTCTTTGCCATGTCAAGCTAAAGGAATGTCTTGTTATCCAGTCTGTCTTTACTCATCAAGTGTCACTGTGATGTTGGCTTTGAACTGGATTCTCTTAATGACCATCCTCATGATCTTCCATGGTGACATGCAAGGCAGCCAACCCCCAATTTTTCACCCTTAAGGGTCTATTTTTTTTCCCATGGACTTTTTGATTATCTTAACTTTACCTGAGGCTACAGGGCTAAGTCAGAAATGTGGTCAAAACACTCGCAGCTGGAAGTCACACAGAGGAGGTGCTGCCTATATTAATATCTGAATCTCTCTGTCCTTTAGGGTTAGGGCAGATGGCCCAGAGAAAGAACTTGTCATGTGACATGCTACCTGGTATTAAACCCAGATCAAAATCTATTTGTTTCAAAATACTGTTTTTTTAATTTTTTTTTCTTTTGAGTCAATTTTTTTTTCACGCAGCTAGCTAACAAGAAGTTGTGTCGATATGATAGTTACACCCTTAGTTAAGGGAGCACAATATACATTCATGAACACTGAAATTAATTCTACTTATCACAAATAACATCTGTGTCTATGTTAAAGAGTATGTGTGGATTTTGTGTGCTGTTGGTCCCATCTATAAAAATCATTGGGCCATATGGATTCATGGACCACTTGCAGTAACTTGGGAGTCCTCTTTGGTTTTTACAACTGCTATTTTAAAGAAATAGACTTTTCCTAAGAGGAACGTTGGTGGTCACAAAGCCGTTCTATAATACGATACATTTAGCAGCATGAATCATGGTGAGAAGCATCTGGGACATTCTGCTTGGCTCCCCATGGTGGAATTTAGGGGGTTCAACAGTTTCCTCTTTCAGATCTTAGCTACTGTAAGCAACCATGTTTTAGTCTCAGCTAGCTGCCTCTTAAGTCCTTTGGCCATGAGATAGTTTTTTTTTTTTTTTTTTTTTTTTCATATCTTCTGACTTCTGTCTCCTTGCTTGAGCACAGGCTAAATGGGGATAGTTACAGAGAGAAGTACACAGATCTTTGTGCTTCTTACCCCTATTGAAAATGGAAGCACAGATATTTCAATGTCACAAACAACAAGACACAAAGTACCCTCCTTTTTCTAATTGCCTAGAACTTGGCAATTTCCAACTTCTCCAAGAACGGGGACTTTCCCCATGCTTTTCACAGCAGCTACTTGCCTAATGGTTCCAATAGGTGTCTCATGTCTTAATGTGCGCTTTCTTTATCTCTCCAGTGAGATTGCCATCATAGTTACTTCTCTTCAGTTGTCTATTTCCCATTCTCCATTTTTACCTTTCTTGGGGTCACTTCTTACAAGGCTGACATTAAGTTATGTTTCATAGCACATTTCTTTGCATGCTGTCTTTTAAGGTGGTATGTTTATTGCTTGGGTGAGAAGTATGTGCTACAATATACAAAGCAGTAGCTGGAGTCCTTTCAAGTCATCCATAGTGCTGTGAGTAAATGGGGCTAGTGGGGTTGTTAGAAGCACCTATTCTAGATGTTTCAGTGGGAGAACTGAAAAGTTATTAACCTCATCCCTGGCTGTTTGTTCCTGGATCCTGGAGGTCTTCGGGGGCAATGTGGCTATTACTTATGCTCACATCCGTTCATATTTGAATTCTTTCATCTTGTTCTGTTCTGTTTTGTTGGTTTTGGAGACAAGCCCTCACCATGCAGCCCAAAACTGGCTTCAAACTTGCTGAGTAGCACAGGCTTCCCCCAAACTTTCCACCTTCCTGCCTCATTCTCCAAAATTGTGGGGATGTTAGCATCCAACAGTATATTTGAACTTTTCTTGCAAATATTTATAGAGCATTCAAGAAGTATATTTTATTTAGTAATCTTCTGGAAATCAGTTGGGGGAATTTACTGCCTTGACTTTGGAGAAGGTTGTGCTATTATTTGTCTCTCAATTTTATGTTTAGCTAACAGACATTCATGATGGGAGACATCAGTATTTCCATATCAAAGTTCTACACTTGAATTCTTGGTCTCAAAAAGGAACTATGTGGGTTACAACCAAATTAATTTCAATGTGTCACTCATGGATGAAAAAAATGCTTAATATAAGTTAATGTTTAAAATTTAAATATTTCTGGGTTTGAGATGACAGTACATTATGATACATCCAGACCCCTTGTACAACACATGGCATCACAAAATTGTTTTTCAGAAAACGTGTAGTCCGTTGGCATTCTACAATTTGTAGCATGCCCTTGCTGTCACAGCCTCTTGATTTTGTTATCAAAACTAAGGTATTCCAGGAGCTGTAGAGATAACTTAGTCAGCAAAGTGCCTGGGATGCAGACAGATATATCTATGTTCAATCCTCACTACTCATGTAAAAAAAACAAAAAATCAGAAATGGTGGCCCATGCTTATAATCCCAGCACTGGAAAGTGGGGCAGTAGAATTCCCAAGGGCTTGCCAACTGGCCAGCCCAGCCTACTTAGCAAGCTCCAAGTCAGTAAGATATCCTGTCTCACAAGTAAGGAAGGATACCCAAGATTATTGTCTAGCCTTCATATACAAGCATATGGCCACATGTACAGGCAGAAACACATACATCTGTATGCACACAGAAGCACAAATGCACACACGCAATTAATAAAGACACTTTGGCTAGGAAAGTGATCTATTCATATCTGTCTTCAGTCATAAAAACAAAACATATAACTGTTGACATGTTTTTGAAAAAATCACTTGGATAATGCCTTTTTATGGATACAGTACAGATGGACTTTCTTGCACCCTTCATGTTAATGCCATCAATACTCCATAAAACAGGGCATTAGAAATAGTAAAGTCATTTAGAGGACATGTCACAGTGCCTCCTTTTTCTGTACTGAAACTACCTTAAGACCAACTCCACGCAAGTGATTGTCCAGTCCCAACAGTCAGCCCTGCAAACAAACAGGTAGCATTATAGAAAATGAATAGGTTATACTGAGGAATACATATGCCTAGACATATATGTTTATGCATGCAATAACAATTAGTAGAGTGAGTGTGAAATTAAAGGAGAGTGGGGAAGGGTACATGACATGGTTTGGAAGGAGGAAATGAAAGGGAGAAATGTAATTAAATTATAATCTCAAAATTAAAAGGAAACATTTTTTTAAAAAAGCATTAGAATGAAACCTGTCTTTAGTCTCTATGCACACACACACTAAATTAACCTTTTCTTTGGGTGTAGCTGGTGAACATCCTTCACAGGTGTGTGTGTGTGTGTGTGTGTGTGTGTGTGTGTGTGTGTGTGATAGTATTTGATCTAAGGATGTCTAAAACTGCTCAGTACATATTTGCCCAAGCACACCTTTATAGGATTCTGACTTGTGGTCTTGATACAGCCATTGAGACACCTCAAATGGATCCTGGATACTCTGAATGCTCCTGAACATTGTCGTTGAGCAAACAAATGCTAGTTATGTCTGCAAACGAGTCATGTCTATTTAAATTGAAGATGTGCCAGCTGTGTTGGCATCATTAGCACCAAACTTCTCAATTAAACCGTTGATACTATAAATATAGTGCACAACTGTCTCAAAAAATGGGCTTGCTTCAGCATTCTTGTTATGGCTCATGTCACTGGCTTCCAGAGCCACCCACCCCGTGCCACCTGCCAAGGAAGCAAACACTGGAGATCATTCCAGGGCATATGGTGTCATTGTTTCATTTAGGGAGCGACACATGCTAAGATGGCTTTCTGATCGGTTCGTCTTATCCAGTTCTTATTTTAGGGGAAGTGTTTTGTGTAGACTGCTTAAGGAGTGTTCCATGGGTGACATTTGCTTCATGGTGTTGGAAGATGTCTTTTTCAGCCCTCTTTCCATAAATATATGTGCTTCTAGGCTCTGCTGCCTGAAATAAATATAAAAGCATCTGCGGGAATGGAATATTCTGCAGCAGTTGTTCTTTTGAAGTGCTTACATAGTGGAGGGTTCTTTACTATGGAACTTGGTTCACCCTGAGAGGCCAGTTCTTCATTTCTCACACTGTAAAATTGTCTTTGTCTGATTTCAGCGAGTTTTTTTCTCTGCCCTAAAACATACAAAAATTGTTCTAAAGGGCTTGCAAGATGATTCAGAAGATAAGATACTTGCTGCCAAGCTTGACACACTGAGTTCAACCCCAATCCTCTGCATGCATAACTTGGCACATGTACACACATGGAAGAAAGAGAGAGAGAGAGAAAAGAAAGAAAGAAAGAAAGAAAGAAAGAAAGAAAGAAAGAAAGAAAGAAAGAAAGAAAGAAAGAAAGAAAGAAAGGGAATAAAAGAAAGAAATCCTGCAGGAACCTTTTGCCATTGACTCTCCAAGTTCTTGCAATTCACTGAACTGGGTAGCTTGGTCAGAGGAACTACTCAGCTTCTTGGAATTATTATTCTCTTTCCTCTTTTGCTCTTGGCCTCCCCTTCATCCAGATCCCTCTATGCTTTGTTATGGAGCAATGCTTACCACATCTTTCCAGGGAAGAGAGAACAACACAGACTGTCCTAGGGTAGCAAGGCTTCCGTGAGTATCCAAACTGCACAGGCAAGCTAGGGATGACAGGAACTCAGCAAATGAAACAAAATCTGCTGGAATGCATTCCGTTGGCTTCTGTTTCTTTGTTCAGTCATTAAAATGGGTGTTTGCCTTTCATCTGCACTGAAGCAAAATTCCTGTCTGACTCTTCCCTGGGCCAAATCGCTTGCTTTAAAATAGTCCCTTCCACCAGCATTATGGGGAACAAACTATAAGCTAAGAAATACACCATTTTATTTTCTTTTGGTTTTTTTTTGGGGGGGGTCTTTTTATTTTTTTAAATAATTTTTATTTTTTTAATATTAATCACATTATTTACTTTGTATCCCAGCCGTAGCCCCCTCCCTCATTCCTTCCCAATCCCACCCTCCCTCCATCATTTCCTCACTGACCTTTTTCCAAGTCCACTGATAGGGAAGGTCCTCCTCCCCTTCCATCTGACCCTAGCCTATCAGGTATCTTCAGGACTGGCTTCAATGTCCTCCTATGTGGCCTAGCAAGGCTGCTTCTCTCCCAGGGGGCCCTGATATATTTAGTTCTTGTGGAGCTCCCATCCTCTCCAGGTCTTAATAACTCCCTCTTATTTCATATGATTCCCTGAACTCTGCCGAAGGTTTGGTTATGAGTCTCAGCATCTACTTTTATACACTGCTAGGTAGAGTTATTCAGAGGCCCTCTATGGTAGGCTCCTGTCCTGTTTCTTGTTTTCTCCTACTTCCAATGTCCATCCCATTTGTCTTACTAAGTGAGGATTGATCATCTTACTCCAGCAACTCTTTCTTGTTTATTTTCTTAGGTGTACAGATTTTAGTATGTTTATCCTATCTTAGGATAAACCTAAGTACCCACATAAAAGTGAGTATATACCGTGTGTGTCTTTCTGCTTCTGGGATACTCTACTCAGGATGATTTTTTTCTAGATCCCACCATTTGCCTGCAAATTTCATGATTTCCATCTTTTAATTGCTGAGTAGTATTCTATTGTGTGATTACACCATTTTCTATGACATCTAGGAAACTTAAGAACCTTAGGTTAGAGAAGAGGATTCTGGATTATCAGATGCTCATGCTTTTAAAGAACCCCTTTGCATAAGCCCCAGTCAGGAATTACTAATGGGCAATATTCACTAAGACTGCCAATACAACAATTTTTCACTAACACACACATACACATACACACAAATGCAAACATAAACACAGGGAGAGACAACCCAATAGTCAGATTTGAATTTTAGATAAATATCAAGTATCTTATCTTATGTTATAAATATTATGAGATTTACTTATTCTATAAAATCTGAAATTTAAAATGTCAATAGTCATTTGCATTTTGTTTGTCCATCTAGTTTTTGATAACTGAAAATTTTGTTCCTGATGTTAGGGGTGTGGAATGCGTTTGTTTAAGAGAACAGACTGTCACCTGGGGGATGGGTGGGGCTCTGCATATATATATATATATATATATATATATATATATATATATACACATAGATATACACCCATATGTAAACGTATATGTTTATATACATATATAAACATATATATTATATATATATACATATATATATGTATATATATATCTGGATTATAATACACCTTTTGTGTTTGCACTTTTCTAACATGGTCTGGTTGTTCCTGGTTTTGTTGTGAGATCAGAGCTAAAACTTTCAACATCACTTTCTAGTTGGGTATTTTATTATCAAAACCTCAGGTCTGTTGGGGTGGCTGATGGAAATGTTATATAGGTAAAGACTAGCCATTTTTTGATCTCTGTAGCTCAGTGCCTAGGAAAATACACACAACACACACACATATAAACACATAGAGACAGAAACAGAGAAACATCAGAACATAGGATTAACCTCCTGGTTAATATTTTGTCCTGGGTCCTGGCAGTGTACCTAGCCTAGTAGAAAAGGCTAAAATCAAAAGCTAATGAATACGCTAGCATTTCTAGCACTTTCTCATGTTACTTGGTAAGGGAACAACATAACATGCGTTCTCTTTACTAAGGAAAGGTGCTCTGACTTGAGAACTAACTATTGTGTATATTGTATAATGTATCCGATTGCTCACTTTGCTCATGAGATATTTCTGTTTCTTTGCAGCAATTTGGTAAAATATTAGATGTTGAAATTATTTTTAATGAGCGAGGCTCGAAGGTAAGCAACTTGACTTAGTTGGAAATGTCTTGGCTGGTTGTGACATGTCTCTTAGGGATAAGGGGAAATAACTGCACTGTTGAGTCAGCATCTCGAGACGTGCACTGTAGGGGTTTCTTTAGAGACCGCCTCCCATTTCCTCAGTGTTGGGAAATGCATTTGGGCTCCATTTAAAATATGTAGGGGGTAATTTTTAATTGCTGGTTTAAATATATATAGATATAATTACATATCTTAAGTTGCCACAGGAAAATTACCCATGCTTAAAAAATAATGATGTTGCTACATTTTTTGTTTTTCAGTGATAATTATGTTCTTTATATTAAAAAGTGAGTTGATAGTCTCATGAGCAGGTAAATATGTGATTACTCTGTATTAATAAAGTGCAGTTCTTTTCCTGGGTTGCAGAGGAGAAAAATCTCATATACACCAACCTTTTGAACATAATTTTATTCATTAGTATGTTATAGATCTTCATTTTGTGGTATGCTATTGCTTTCAGTTTATTTTTTTACTAGGAAACCAATGTTTAAATCACTTTTTCCTAGTAGACTGACAAGTATTCATAGAAGGCCCTAAGAAAAGGTTCCAGTACCTACACAGGAAATGTAAACATTCAACTCATCCAATGTGTATGCTCTGTCCATAGCTATAGAAGTGTGGCCCGAAATATGGAGCATCAGCAGCATCCAGGATCTTATTAAAGATACACGCTGTCCATTTCCAGCCCAGACCTACTAAATCAGAAACCCTGAAGCTGGTTCCAGCCATTCACACATTACCAAACCTCCCAAGCTTGTCCTCAAAATGCCAAACATATTGTCTATCTTTCCCCCAAAGGTCAAGCCCTCACCTGAATATAGAATAGCTTTTACCCAAAAGTATTTCATCACTGTCTGTGTTGTTGTCATAAGACCTTCCTCTTTTTTATCTTTATGTACCCTGAAAAGATTCAAGAGCCTCCTGCAAACACCCCTCATATAAAATAATTGCATAAGAAGTTTCAGCATTTACTATGTAGTCACAGAGAAGGATGTTGGATGATGAAAGACAGAGTAGTCATAGAAGCCAGCTGTAGTACAACTGCCCATGGCTCACAGTCCATCACACCTATAGTCAATCAGATCCTAAGGAACCTTAAAATCTAATCTTTCTTCCATCCTTAGCCTCTGAATGTGGACATAAGAAACATCTTTGTCATATATAGAGAGATGCTGGTTTGGACTTAACAGTGCCCCTTCTATGGGCACCTTAGAACAAATAGGCATCAAGGAAGGCCCCTAAGCATCACTGGTTTTGTAGTTTATCACATGGCACCATAATGACATGACACTATAAAACAAACCTTATGATTTATTATTCCTTATAGCATCTTCCCTTTACCCATTCCCTCCTAAGTAGATCTAACATCAACCGAGTAGGACAGTGCTGATCAAATTGAAGAAATAAAATTCCAGAACTTACTTTTCCACATATAAATGACACTGTAATCTGCCAGGTGAGTGGAAAGTTATCAGTAAAAATTTGCATGTCTGCACATTCAGGGACCTGGTCATTCTTTGTCAACTTTAACTACTTTCCATTCTTGTAGTCTGATCTTTGAGCTAGGTTAAGGGGAAGAAGTTAGCTGTTTCTGTAGTGGGAACCATGGAAGTGAACATTTTTATACTTGCAGAGCAAGATGCACAGAGAAAAAGATATACTTAAGGCTAAATTTTCACGCTTGGGTTTGGTGGATCCCTGGCAAAACTGAAGAAGCTTATGTACAATGTGTCCCAACTCTTTCCTTATTCTGAAGTTCTTTATCATATCATTGCCTTATGTTTTTTTCCTTGTTGTCTATAGCTTGTTTTTAATTTCCCTTTAATTTACATCTTGTTTAGTAAGATTTTTGTCAGTTGAAGAAAGTGATTTCATTCTGTTCTGAAAGATGTTTAGGGACACCACTGCAGTATTGTTGACTATTTTCAAAGTACAACGGTGGTGCTATTTTTAGGACTTTTTCCATCATCTTGATTAGCTTGTCCCTGGTGGCTTCAGGAAAAAGAGCATTTCCGTTTTCAGCATCTACAGCCTGAACTTTGTTGGGCTTCTTTGTTTCTCTTTTCTTTTTTCTTTTTCTTTCTTCCTTTTTAGGTTAGGTACCATCTAGAAAGGCATTTGTGTGTCTCTGAGTGGGAGCACTCACTCTCTGTCTTGCAGGTAGGAGTACTAAGTGATGCCATATAACAGAATGTCCATGGGAATGCTACCTGGGGCAAGAACTTACACAAGGATAAGTTATCACATTTGGCATTTTCATAGGAAAGGGCCTTGTTTAGAGGAACATTTCCCCTTTAGCCCTCAAGAAACAGAGTCATTATTAGAATCTCATGTCCATCACTTGCTGCCTCTGTTGGCCAGGAAACCAGTAGCCCTAAAGAGCCAGAAACTCTCCTCTTGGTCCTTTATTCCCCATAGGGTACTCCCTGAGGCAGAAAGCTCAAGTGAGGATGACTCTACATATATGTGTGTGTGTACATCCATAAGCAGCATCTTAAATGCTTTAGAAATGTACAGCCTGAATTCGTTCTATATACTTGGGCACTATAGAAAAGGAACCTCTTCAAAGGGAATGACAGACTTGACCACATGCAGGGGTAATGAATAATACAGATAAATTATTTTCTTAAGAGGTTTATTTATTTTTCTTCTGAAAGGCTTTGCTTCCTGGATAAGTTAAATTTAGTTAGTCTTTATTATATTTAAGAAATGTGCAATTCGGTCTTTGATTTAGTCCATATGTATATACCCATATGGATCACCCCTTCAGGTGAACTGTTCTTGAGCAAGACAGACAGCCTTCTAGCGCTTAGCTTTTCTCGAGCATCATGAGCTACTGCCATACACTGCTGCATTCTGCCACACAAGAGTCTGTTGAAGCTCTGAGCATACAGTTGGAGGTAGGGAGGCTTCTTGGGAGAAGGAACTGAGGATGAATGAAGAAGGGTGAAAGAAAAGAAGGGAGGAAGGGAGTGGAAAAGGAGGAATCTCATAAGAGGCTGTATATGTAAAACTCACTGGAAAGATGAGAAATGTGAGGCTCTTAGTCATTGTGAATATTAATTTCTATGGCCTCTTAACATCTCTCCTGTTCTAAACATGAGTTCTCTGCATTATACACTAGAGGAGTTGAGTTTTCATTTTTAATAGAATGTGTGAATTCCTTCTTCTGGGAGCTTCAGAATCTTGATTTAAGATCAAACAAACAAACAAACAAACAAACAAACAAAAACAACCAATGAACCAAGCAACCAAACAAACAAAAAGCCAAAAAGAACAGGGTATTCACAGGAGTGCCCCCAAAGAAAATCCACCACCTAAAAATATCAGTATCAGAAAGGAAAAGTAAGTAGGATAAAGTACAGTGAGAATTTATGATTCTCTGAAAGACTTTGAGGTCAGTAAGCCATTCTCTAGGGCTCTATTTTAGGTCCTGTCCTTCATGTCCATTTGTCAACACAGACCTCTCCTCCAGGAAGCCCTCTTTTCTCATTGCTGATCACCTGTCCAAGTAGAATCTGAGAACTCAAGTCTCCCTGCAGAAGAATATCTGACCACCATCTCAACTCTGCTGCTACCTCCTTTCCTCCCTTCCTTACTTCATCCTTCCTTTTTTCCCCTTTCTGCCTTTTCCTCGTTTCTTATTTCCTTTATCCTTATTTCCCTTTTTCCTCCTCCTATTCCCTCATCCTGTCCTTTCCATTAGTGTTTTCCCTTTTAAGTTATGCAGTACTAGTAACAAAACTTAAGACATTCCAGACAAGCATTTTATCACTGAACTACACTCCAAGAGTCCCAGTGTTTTGTTTTTGAGACAGGGTCTCACTGAGTCACTAAGACAGACCTTGAAATTGTGATTTTCCTGCCCCAGCCTCACAGGTATCTAGGATAACAGGCCTGCACTGCTATGCCCGTCTCTTCATGGCCTGTCTTCTTACACTCTTCATTGTTCCACATTATCATTCCATTCACCTCTAACTGTTCAAACCAAAGGTGTTTTGTTCAGTCTAAGACAGAGATAAAAATAATCATCTTTTTAGGAATAGCAAGGTGCTGTTTCCTTGAAATGTAATCTTGACCACAGGACAAATTATCACAGCATCTTAGCTCCCACTTTTAGAGACACCAGGACCCAGGGCTTTAGACACAGAACACCTGACAGCTGAGAGGAACAGGTGACCATTTTTCTAATTCAAATAGCAATTTCCACATGGGACTTCTGATCATTTTCTGACCCAAAGAAGCCATATCATTTCTGTTCTGGATAGAAGGTAGAATTTTCCAAGCCTGCTGGACATTTAGGAGACCATTTCTATGACAAGCTCAGCTTTCAACCTAACCTTCACCAGTGTCAGCATGTCATTCAACAAGTCTTTAGAAGTCATTTCAACACCATGGAATAAGGACTATCCATGGTCTTTCCTATCGTACCTGTGCCTGTTTTCTGGAATGACACATCTTCATCTCTGCTTCATGTGCATAATGTGCATTTAAGCCAGTGGGTTTATCTTGGGTTCAAATGGCAACTAGAGAATGCGTTTCCTTAGGACAATGTTTACCTTTGTGTTCTTTGCAGTGCTTTGGTAATAGAAAGACTTCTGATCCCAATAGAAATGACAACAGCCTTTCTTTCATCCATGAGGCAGAAACTATAAATTGTCTTTTCATGCCTGAAGACAGACTATAAGTCCTTTATCTCTCTTTCTGATTCCTAAATGTCTGGCTTGGATGCTAGTAGAAAGTCTACAAGGGAGAAAGACCATGGCTCAGGCAGCTTGGACACATGTTCTTCACTGTTTTCCTTACATCTATGCACAAAACTGGAATCGTAAACTCATCCTGCCCTGCTGATGACAAGTTTCCAAAGCACCATTTTCTGTGAGTGTGGAATGAAGCGAGAGATGAGGAAAATCAAGCCATGGAATCATCTAGGTAGTTTTGTGAGGCAAAAGGATGTCTAGTCTCCACTCAGGCTTTCTGATGCGACAAATACAAAGTTAAGCTCAGGAATCAAAGTACGAATATGCTTCAGTCCTTTGCTGATGCACAGCTGAATTTGGAATCCGCTAGCCAGAAGATAGAGTTGTCAGATGAAGCAACTGTCCTCTCAAATTCTGCCCTTTGCCATCAAAGAAAACTTTGATCCTCCCTTACCCAAACTAGAATACTCCTAGCAAATATTTTTTATGTACCCAGATTAGGTAGGTACCATGTGCAAAGCTTTGGTGGAATATGTCATTGTATATTAATTGGATCACTGAGGCATGTCCTACTTACAACTTCTCACTCTGGGAAAAGCAATGCAAAGTCATTCAGTTGAAGTAAATGCATCTGATCTTTTTCTGTGTCTGATATTGACAAATATCCATTTCCTGGTACTGGAACACATGCACAGCTCATACCCTCCACAGACAAGCCCAGTTTTAGTGTCCTCTAGCTAGTGCACCCAGCAACCCTTCTCCAAATATTCCTCAATTATGAGGTCATTATAGGTACCAACTATAAGAGTGAGGGTTCTGTCAGATGGCCACTACCATTCTACACGTATAATTATTGCACATTTGATTTGTAAAGCTGAATGTCATCCATGAGGATGAAGCAAGAGTCTTCACTGTGTATGAGGTTTATTCTGTGCTGTTTGATAGTTCCCACACAGTGAAAAATTGCTCCCAACTTACAGCAGTGTGGACCTAATATACCCAAATTATTTCAAAGGTTGGTGTATATATTTATAAATAAAATGTACAATTAAGTTTAAGGATTTTAGAAGTAGTAGTTCAGTTTCTCTATACTCATTACAAGAACAGTGCCAGTGAGGAATAATGGTGGATTTTTACAATATAAATTAGTGGGGTTGGTGTTAGGGGCTGAGATATTAAAAAGCAAAAACTGTACTTGAGATGAAAAAAGGGCATGCTTGTCATTCACCAGTCAAAAGGAAGGGCTTGGTGCTACACAGATTACCTCTATCTGGGAAATGTCTTAATATTACTACTTGTTGATAAAGCAAATGACTACCAGCCTAGTGCCTTAGAACTTTGTTTTCTGGTTAATAAAATAATGAAAAAGGTCAAATTCCAAAGTCTTTTATTATTTGGGGAGGGGAGGGGGACTGCAAAGTACAAATGTAGAATGGTACTTGCTTATCTACATTGCTAACCAACAAAAAGTTTATTTCTATTCATTTCATGTGATTTTTGTTTTGTTCATTAGAACCACAAGATCAAGATTTATTATTTAAAAAAAAAAAGGTCTTTCCTTTTTTTTTAGGCTTGTTACTTTTGTTTTTGAGAAGCAAAGGCTGTACAGTTGACAGAAATGAATAACCCTAAAATTGCATGAAGAAGAACTGTTCTTAAATCCACGCAGCATGACTCCTTAGGCAATGTGACAGGACTTGAGCATTCACTGTTGAATTCTGTGCACATGTTTTATTTTGTTTTATTTTTAATTTGCATGTCAAGAAACTGGTTCCCTTTCTTTTTCCTCGTTATTTCATTTATTCTCTGTGAAGAACTGTACATTTATTTTGATCTCATTTTTTTTTTGGTTGATTTCTTTTCTTCTGTAGTGATGTTTAGAAAGGTATTTTTTGTTTGTTGGTTTGGTTTTCGTTTTCATATCCATCTTTAATTCTTTAGGGGTTCCAGCTAACGGGTGACAGGAAAAAAATCTCGTTCACATTTGTTGCTTAATGACTGCACATCGTAGTGTTCTTATAATTTCTCTAATTTGCATGTTACAGAACTGAAGCCAGAACAAGAAATAGCAATGAAAGCAAGAGAACTTTACCAAGTGGTCGTTGACTGAAATAATAATATGCATGTTGTTCTCCTTCTCCCTCCTGCATGCAGGGATTTGGTTTCGTAACTTTCGAAAATAGTGCGGATGCGGACAGGGCGAGGGAGAAATTGCACGGTACCGTGGTAGAGGGCCGTAAAATCGAGGTGCATGTCCAAAATATTTTCCTTTTCCTCTTTTTTTATAAATGTCTGCTTCACGCTCATTCGTCCTTTCAGGTGCATCATTGGTGTCTCGTGTGTGACCCTACTCCCTTCTCATTGTTTATATATATTTATATATCTATATATATTTATATATAAAAAGGAAAACTGGCCTTACTTTTTCGTTAAATTTTACTTTACATTATTCTTTATATATTGCTTGAGAGTAGATGGCAAAAAGTGAGATGAAAGGAAGGTTAATATGAAAGGTTCTGTTTCTTTGTTTCAGTTTATTTTCCATGTTTTATGAACAACGGGTGCCGTAGGATCCAAAGAGGACACAGTATTCAAACGAAACCAAATATAGCAAGATTTGTTTTGTTTTGTTTCTTTTTCAGTCCACTTTAGGGTTGAAGAGGGATCCACAGTGGTTTGCAAATTAGACCAAATTTCAAAGGCAATATCATTCAAAATATTAAAACTGAAAAATGAGAGGCACTTGTCATTAAATCTTTCACTTAAAAACAAAAGGCAGCTTGAATTTTTACATTCTTCTGATTAGACATTAAATAAGCAATCAGGATTTCTCATTTCAGTACATGGCCCCTTGATTGGAAATACAGACCCCACATTCTGCATTCAGTACTTGCCCTTTGTGCCACTGGCTTCCTCTTCAACACAGTCAAAGGGTCATATTTGTTAAAGCTTAAAAAGAAAAAAAAATTACCAGTTAAAAATGCTTTAGTCTTTGGAGTAAGATGTTGCATATTTTGCCTTTTTATTTTCCCCCCCTCGACGGTAACGCTTAGGCCCCTCACCAAACTCTCAGTAACCATGGTAACTGTATACAAACCCATGCTGGCGATGGTGGTGAATGGTAAGTGATGAAGTCCATCTGCCGCTTCACGTATTTAGTGCTGATATATCTCTATACATATCTCTCTACCACGTGAATTTTTTTGACTTGTTGTATTAAGTTTTCTTGACGCTCTATTTTTTTGGGTCTTTGGTACGCCTGTAATTGAGTGTACGTTCTAAGCTAGCCTGGGAGGCTCTGACTGGACTGAGTTATGACCAGTGCACATCTTACTCAGATTGTTAACTCCATATTGTGTTACACAATGCACCCTCTCCTTTATCCTTTTGTTAGCTGTGACTTTAAAGCTTGAATGACTCGTTAATTCCTGCAATGTAAAAGGCTCTTGTTCCGAGTGTTGAATGCTAGATGTTGCTTCCCGGTGGTTCCCCTCCCGAAGTGTTGCACACGGCTTAAACTTGTCTGTCCCTTTCTTTGACATTTATGTCCCTTGTACTTTGTCTCCTCCCTCTTCTCCACTGCATGCCCCTTTCATATTAACTTTATTTTCTGTTTAAAAACCTATCTCCTGTTTCTGTGTTACCATGGAGCACACGCATGCTTTTAAATCTTCAATTATGCAGTATCTTTTAATTTGCTTTTACTGTCTCTTTATTAAACTTTTAAATGAGATGACATTGCTTTATTGAAATGATTCATAAGTTAAATTGGTTATGAAGTAAATGTAATTATAAAAATGTATGATTTTTGGGTTATGCACCTATTGCCATTTGTAAATTAAAATGCATTTTAGTTTTTGTTTAAGTTTTTGTGTTTTGGTTTTGATTTTAATAAGTAGTCACAGTCATAATGCATGCAACTAATTGGACCATGCGCTGGCCTTGGCATCCCAACTCACTGGAGTTTTCTGTGTGTAGGTGAATAATGCGACAGCACGTGTAATGACTAATAAGAAGACCGTCAACCCCTACACCAATGGTGAGTCCACACTGCCTGTCACCAGACCTCTTCTCTGCCCATCAGTCCACAAATTTCTTTAACCAGGGAATTGCTTTCTTTCTTTTTTTTTTATTCTTTGAACATTTTATGCATGTATACACTACATTTTTATCATATGCGCTCTTACCTGCCCCATCCAGTTCTCCCTGAATCCCCATATCTCCCACCCAACCTCATGTCTTTCTTCTTTATTTATCTTTTTATTTCTTTTTTCTTTTAATTTAACAAACTGATTCCAGTTAGTGTCGTGTAGGAAAATCCACTGTAGTCTTTTTTTTAAAATTTTTTATTAATTACACTTGATTCATTTTGTATCCTCCCATAAGCCCCTCCCTCTTCCCCTCCTGATCCCACCCTCCCTCCCCTTTCTGCATGCATGCCCCTCCCCAAATCCACTGATAGGGGAGGTTCTCCTCTTAAGGAACCTATCAGTGGTCAAATTTCTAAAGAGAAGAGACCCTCCCAGTCCAGATTACCAACAGCTCCTCCCTCCGCTAGGGCTAGGACCAGTCTATCCTGGAATTTATTTTAACTGTGCGGGCCTTGGGCAGGTAATGACAGCGGTTGTGATTTCATGTATACCATGTGCCACATTGGCCCGACATGGTTCCTGTCTCATTGCTGACCGGCTACAGTGAACTACCCCAGAGAAGATTTTCCCAGCAAAGCAAATACAGTTTTTCAGTTCAGGCAGCCCATCTCTCTAGAGTGACTCCCCCGGCTCCAGGACCTGATTTGCATCATTTAATTTCTTGTAATGATAGCAAATTAAGGAGCAGATGAAACTTTTATTTGTTTGTTTGTAATCCACATATCCTTAAGAATTTTTACTGTTGAAAGTGTAGTTACAGAATTTGGCTCTAGCTTTCAGACTTCTTGGAATTTTGAGGAAGCTGATGGCTGAGCTCCATGGAAAAGTGGCTGAGTGAGTGGGTTATTCTTTCCCATGGAGATATTCCTGAGCACCGTGGGTCAGGTGAGTCCAGGGATGCATACTGCAGACCCATTTAGGACAAAGAATTTCTGTGATTACCAGAAATATTTCCCAGGAGCTATCATTAAAAAGAACTAACTGGGTGCAGCAGCCTATGACTGTAATCCCAGCACTCTGGGAGGCAGAGGCAGGCAGATCTCTGAGAATTTGAGGCCAGCTTGTTCTACAAGCAAGTCTAGGACAGCCAAGGCTACACAGAGAAACTCTGCCTTGAAAAACCATGTAGCCCATGGCAGTTCAGGGTCCAAGTGGGATCCATAGTAATAGGAACAGGGACTGTCTCTGACATGAACTGATTGGCCTGCTCTTTGATTACCTCCCCCTGAAGGGGAAGCAGCATTACCAGACCACAGAAGAAGACAATGCAGCTACTCCTGATGAGGCCTAATTGACTAGGATCAGAAGGAAGGAAAAGAAGACCTCCCTAATCATTGGACTTGGGGAGGAGCATGCGTGCAGAGGGGGGGAGGAAGGGAGGGATTGGGACAGGAGGAGGGAGGGAATCATAAGGGGGATACAAAGTGAATAAAGTGTAATTAATAAAGAATTTAAAAAATAATAAAACACACACACACACACACACACACAAACTGAATAAAGAACTGACATGCCGCTGTGGATGTAGTAGGTGCTTCCCAAGCATGCCTGAGACTCTGGGTTCAATTCCTACCATCACCAGAAAAATGTGCTTTTATATGAATGTGCATTTATATGAAGAGTTATTAAATATGTTCCCACAGTTTGATTCATTACTCCTTTCCAAAATAAGCATCTGTTAAGGTATAAGATGGGAAAGTTCTGATTTTATGCTAATTAGCAAGAGAGATGACTCAGCGGGTGACAGAGATGAGTTCAGATCCCAACACCCACGTACAAGCCAGGCCTGAATACACGACTGCTTGTAAAGACAGCTCTGTGGGGAGTGGAGGCAGGAGGATCAATGCAGCTGGCTGGCTACCAGGCTCAATGAGACATCCTGTCTCAGAAAGGAAAAAAATAACAATAATAACAAAACCATAGACCCATCCAAAGACAAAAGTTCACCTCAGGATTCTTAACGTGTGTAAATGTATAATACTCATGTACATATATACACCTTAGATAAAAAATAAATAGAAGTGATCCAGTAAGTTAAAGTTTAAGAATTTGATAGACTATTACCCCCATTAAAATGAGCAGTGTAAGGTAACCATGGAATTATAGTAAGAAAAAAAAAAAAAAACCCTGAATAATGAAACCCATGTCTACACTCTGATTTCAGCTGATGTCAGTACTTCTACCAAAATGGTAATGCTGTGTTGAATAGCAATTCAGATCATATTTTTCTTTGGTTTATAGGTTTAAAAATAATGTAATTTTATTATACACAACAGGAAAATGCATGAAAGTTCTATTTTTAAAGTTTTAATTATACATGAAACATTGGCTTATTTTAAGGAAGAAAACAACCAAGGAGGAAACACAGTGAGAAATGTTTTGGCTAGCAGTCTTGCCAGCCTGGTTTCCTCCCTTCCTTTAGAGGAGGCCACAGATCCAGACTGCTGTCTATAATGCATTTTGCATTGTCAGACATAGACATTTATAGACACATAGCTCTGTGTGTACAGCATTCGGTGTGATCTACATGCTCCTAACACAAACAGAATGTGACATGCATAACTTTTAACCAGCTATTATGAATCAGTTCAGACCTCTTTAGATACTGATCCATACATATAGAACTATTTCTTTCTCATGGCTATGTAGTATTCCACAGGTTGATTCAGGTCTCTAGTGTTTACTGACATGTCATTATTTTTGTTTCTATTTGGTACTATTAGAAACATATTAGCATTTTACAGTTTTTCTTTTATCTTTTCTTCTGGTGGCAAGCAATTTGACTATGTCAATGTGTTTTCACGTTCAAAAGTACAGCTATTAAGCAAGTATATATCCTTAATGTAACATGGAAAGGACCAGAAGAATAATTTATTCTGCCGTCCAGTTTGCCCAGCCTCAGCAACTGAGGACATGCCCTTGAACTGTATAAGTAGTTCCGAGTGCCCAACACCTCTGAAGAACATGTCTATAAGGATTTTCAGTTTGGGTAAAATCCGTAGCTCTGCAACTAGGTGTTCATTGCCATCCATACAAATATTGTACATTCAAAACTTCATGGCATAGCTAGTTTGTGTATATGTGTGTTGCACATTTGTAGGTGTACTTGCATGCCCTGTGAAAGTGTATTCAGTGAAAAAACAAACAGACTAAAGAGAGAGAGAATGGGGGGATGGCTCAATGAGTAAATCACCTGAGAATAGGGCTGGGTGTAGATTTGCAGCACACACATAGATATCAAATGGCTGTTTGTCTTTAGTGTTCACAGTTGAGATATGGGAAGATGGGAGATTCTTGGAGCAAGCTGGACAGTTAGACATGGTGAATCACAGACCTTGGTGAGAGACCTTCCTTATCAACTAAAGTGAAGAGGACAAAGGACATCAACCTCTGGCCTCCATATGTATAACCTGAAAACACACACACATGTCCACATGTATACAAATACGCAAATATATTCACATGCACACACTATATATATACATACATACAAATGTAAAACAATGAAATCAAATATAATTCTATAAGCCCTATAATGTGTATACATACGTGTTTTAAAGGAAGAATTCTTGATCAAGTACATTCCCAAGGAATGACAACCAACTCATATAGAAATTTTAAGCACAATTCAAAGCCCAATTAAAACAGCTGGTACCTTTGTAGCACTGTGAGTTACGTATTATATGAGTGGCTTCAAAGACTGTACAATGAAGGCCCAGAAAGACAACAGCATCACCATTATTTTAAAGAGTCCCAAACAGAAGACATATACGAAGTAAATGTAGCCTTTTCTTTTGTGTACGAAATATTACTGCGATAACTAGAATGTTCTACAAATTATAATAGAATACAATTTGGGGAAATAAAGGCCCTCAAAATCTTTAAGAGGGTGTTGGTTTTGGGAGACTTTATATTAGTGAACTTTTCATCATTGTGACAAACGCCTGACATAAAGATGAAAGGTCCATTTTAACTGAGAATTTCGAAGGCTACCTGCCTGAGCCCACGACTCTGTGGGCACTGACCTATAGTGAGACAAAGCATCACGATGGTGGGGAATGTTGCAGAGACCATTCTCCTTATGACAAACAGGAAGCTGAGACGTGGGCTGGACCCAAAAGCTTCGGAGGCATACTCCTTGAGGTCAACTTCTAAAAAGCCTGCACTTCTTCCTTTCCCCTCCTCCCTCAAATGCCAGCATGAAATAAGTCTGTCAGGATTGTTAGATATTAACTATGTCTAGTCTAATTACTTCCCAACCTCCTCAGCCAATAAGTGGGCCCTTGATACATAAACTTCTGGGCTGCATTTTGTATTCCAACCATCACAGGGAATATGTGAATACCTATGCAGCCATATTAAAATAAGATAATAATAATTTTGAGGTTTACTCTTTAGCTGCATGACTTATAAACCATAAAAATAATGCTTTTTCCAAAATTATAAGTTATCAAACTTCGAAGCTCATTTTCAAGTGTTATAATAAAAAATAGTTGTCAATGCCATATTTCTGAATTCCTTCAGTAATATATCCAACTGAAGTTTCAACAACTTTGGGGTCTCCGTGATGCCTGAGACTGGTCCTAATGCAATAAAAACTTGTAGGAGAGTGTGCAGGAGGATCTGTAGTGGAAGATTGTGGCTATTATCAGTGTGGAGGATGGAGGAGGTATGCCCATGGTGTTCTAATATAGCTGTACTCTGGAAGACAATAAAAGGACATACAGAAGCTTTGCAAATTCCAAATCTGTCAGGAAGCTCCTCAAAAGAGGGAATTAGACTTTCTCTTTTCCTGTTTCTCCCAAAAGCATGTCTGGGTATAGAGATTGGAAAGGTGTGAGAGGGTACTCTATACTCATTGGATAACAAATTGAGAACTGGATTTGGA